AGAATTTGATCGAAGTAGTTGATCAGATATGGAGAAAATTTTGGAATGTCCTTGAAATTCCTTAGTATGTTGTGGTTTGTATTGGTGAGGTATCATCTTGTCACCTCTCGAATTGTATTTTTTCCTTTTAGAGAGAGAGAGAGAACATGGGTTTCGGTCTGAGAGCAGCCACTTTGTGCAAAAAGAAAATGTCAAAGGTTAGGTCTGTCTCCACTCCACCCCTCCCAAGACCTCAAATAGCTGGGACCAACTCTTTTTATCAGTAACAATCCAAATTTTATTGATTTCTATAAACAATGTGTATAAAGTATGGTCTAAGAGAAATCTGTGTAGATTAGCAAAGCTACCTATACCCTAGTTGTTTTATATGGTAGGTTCCCTAGGAACCTCCCCTACAACATTTGAGATCTATTAACCCCTTGCCTAGCTAAGGCATCAGCCATGCTGTTTGCATTCCTAGGCACCCATTGGAATGTGACCATCATTTCTGCAGCCAGCTTATTAACTACCCTTAACACATTTCTGCATGACCATGTTCCCTTAACACATAGCTGAGACTAACATTAGGTAATGGCCTTTTTTATATATACGTCCATATAATGAGACATGGAAACAGAGTAAAGATAGTGGCATAAAAGGTGAGACAAGGAGGCAAATATCACACTGGACTGTGATTTGAAACTTTCCATTCGAGGTCCTCAACTCACCTGAACAATGTTTATCTCTTATTTTAGTTAATAATGTTTAGAGGCTGACTATGATACCAAAAAGGCATGATATCCAAAAAACTTACAAGTTACAACCAAATCAACTGGAATCATAAAAATGGTAACAAATCAGGTCATATTCATCAAAATTCAAGGAGCTTTGATTGGTCAAAATTCTGGTATCATACCTTTTCAGAATCATAGAATTGCCTAATGTTTATCTCATACATACATATATAAGGTATAACAGGTGTATACTGATGTTGGGTACAAGCTAATTAGATTTTCCCTTTTCTCTACGTCTAAAAACGCAAACAAGAAAACATTTACCATTTCCCAACCACCAGAACAATGATCTGAAACTGGCTCCTCACAGGAAACTGCAATTTAGAAATATGTAGTAGTAAGAATGATGAGATCCAGTAAAATACATACCAAAGGATAAGCAAAGGAATTGCAATAATGTCAACCGGGATAAAATAAAGAGATAAAAACCTTCATTCTCAACAAGATCAGGGGAAGTTGGTGGTGAACAAGATTTCATGCTATTATCATCATCTGATAACACATCAACTGGCTCGCCCTGCAGAAGTTCCAAATAGATTAGATAGTGAGGACCTCCAAAATTGACATCTAGATTCATCTTACAACTAAGGAGAGGAGGAAAATCAAATACATTGGATAAAGGCTTCAAATGTGTGGAATCAAACAGTTTGTTTCCAGATGAAGGTAACCCCAGACTCAAAGGTCTCACTGGAAGGGAGTTTAAACCAACAGAAAGACTTTTGGGTTCATCATTATCTGTATTATTGCAATTAGGTGGTTCATAATTCATAGAATTCGACGCCAGAAGACCATCCAAGCCAGAACTTTCTCTTCCAATGGCACAGTCAACTTCAGCTACATCCAAAACATGTGAAATGCCATTGCTGCATTTTCGATCACTATCACTTGCATCAACTTCTACACATGAAGCATTACTGATTTCTGTCTGTTCGGTATTAGTTCCTCCTGCAACTAAAGAAAGGTTCATAGATATAACAATATCAGAGAAAAGAACAAAACATACAACTGATACACATTAAGATGCTGGCATTAAAAAATATACTCATATGGATATAAAGCTTTGCTTCCTTTACAGCTAAGAGTAACCTCTTCTTACATAACTCAGACCTATGTTCTGTGGACAATTGGACATGGATACAGGTTTCACATTCCAACACATACAGACACAGGGAGTTGGCCACAACAAGCCCCCAAAATCTATAAAAATAGACATGGCTGTATATACAGAGGCATATCATGTCAGTAGGAAGGTCTGTATGCATGTTCTTCTGCACTTTGTATTTTACCTTTTTTTATCATTAACAAGATCAATAGAGCTTTATTGGACCAAATGGAGAAAATAAGTAGAGAAGTACAATCACCCAACAATCAGCATTGTTAGACTCAAAAACTTCCAAAGAGAAAGGTTAATAACACATGTACAGAGATACAATGCAGCTTATCTAACCTGGGAAGGTTGCATTCCAATACAAATCCCCACACCATATCTTGCAATGCCATCACTTATGGAGTTTGCCAACCTCCAGATCCACATGAATGAGATGTTCACATTAGAAGCCAGAACTCTGATGGTCTGACCTCTCACAGTGTTTAAACCACCATGGACCTTCACTATTATCTCTCATCCAACCAATTACCACCTAAGAGTCTCCTTCACTATTATCTTACAGCATAGTTTTCAAGGCGTCTAGGCGATTCTGGGCAACACTGGGGGTGCCTAGTCGCCTAGTCGCCTAGGCAATAAAAATTTTATAATATAAAAAAACTGACTTTTGGCTAGTTTCCTAGTTTTATATACCATTCAGCATGTATGTTAATTGAAAAAAAAAAATAGCAATTCTCTTTATTAAGAACATTAAATTTCCTCTAAAAATGTGGCAAATCATCACATCTAAAAGAGAGAAATATTTTACATATATTAGTTTCATTATTTTCAAAAATAATACTACTATGATAAGTATTTAATAGAGCAAATTCATATTAATTAGCAGCTAAAGAAGGTTATTAACTTTATATGATAAATATTCAAGATGGAAAGCAAAATAAAAAAAAAACATGGAGTTTTTGTTTTATTTAATTAGAGAGAGAGACTAGAAAAAAAGAACTTTATTATTCTATTCTTTCTTTCCTCTTTCTTTTCTTTTCTTTCTTTCTTTCTTTTTCTCTTCTCAAAACCCTTTGATCTTTTAAAATCCAATAGTAAAACATTAAAACAAAGTATAATTGATATATAGCATATAATAAAATGTATCAACACATACATTAACAAGATACAGCAATACAAATGATATTATAAAAGGCGCCCGCCTTGTCGTTTTTGTCACCTAGGTGGGTGCTTAGTCGCCTTGAAGGGCGCCTAGTTGCTAAAAGTCAAGGCATTTGGGCAAGGCGCCCAGCCAAGGGTGCCTAGTTGCCTAAGCGGGCACCTAGGTGACGCCTTGACAACTGTCTTACAGACCAAGGTAAGGCTGCGTACAATTGTCCCTCCCAAGACCCAGCATTGGTGGCAGCCTTGTGCACTGGGCTGGCCATTTATTCTCCTTTCACCCTTACAATTTGAACACTTGCATCTCTAATAACATCAGCTCCTGCAGTAGCGTTAGTGCCTTTATTTCTTCCCATGGCAAGTGTTACATGGACTCTCTTAAAGGAATTAATTGTTCGTGATTGATGGACATACATCAGATTAGGGGTGCAATTGAATCAAGCTTTAACAAAAAGTGCGGACCCGAGTTCAAATCTTAGGGTAAGTTCAATTGGTTACTAGAACTTGAATTCTGCCAATAAAATATTTGGCTCGAAAGCTCATGAATATATATATATAGAGAGACTATAAAAATGTATCTTATAATATATATATATATATATTGTAAAAATACATTACATATTAGTTTTTATAAAATATAAAAATATATTAGTTTTTCAAGCTTTTGAGCCAAACTCAAACTTATCAAATATTTAGTCGAACCAAACTCAAACTGGAAAATATAGTTTTAATCTAACTTGAACTCAAAGATAAGAGCATTTTAGTCAAACCGAGACAATACAAGCTGAAGTTCAGCTTGGCTCAGTTCGACTGTATGCCTACATCAGATACTGACACTCCATGGCTTATTAAAGGACACTTTTTTTATCAAACTATTAAAGGACACTTATACATAACATTTTCCTCTTTCTCAAATTTATTTGAAATAAAAGAACATGTAATGTACATGTTGAATGTCATTTTCTTATAAAATGTTTCTTAGTAACAAAGACAACGTTTTAGACCATTTTTATGGATATATGATGTTAGAATTCAATAAACATGGACTATAGGTTAGATGATTGCCTTATCAACATGAATGTTGTAGCCTTATAAGCCCTAGATAGGCTGAATTATTTAAAGTTTAAACATCATGAGCACAACAAAAAAAAAATACAGTAAATTACCCATTCAACAACAAATTTAAGGTCAATTGACTCAATTCATCAAAACATATCAACAGGCCAGGTGAGTCCACGGTTCAAAATTTCACAAAACATAGCAGGTTTATTGTATTGTATCAGCTCCCACCTCAATACGTGAAATATTAAATATCTTAAAATCTTAATGTCTTCATGGGGTAGGCCTTGCTAATACCATATCCCCTGTAAAATTTTGAAAAAAAAAAAGAAAAAACACAAGGCTCAAAATATCGATACACCCCGATATGCCAGAACATGCATATATGGAGTTTTGATCAACACTCTTGCTATTTCTTTTTAGAATTTTATAATTTTACAAGGGGCCGGTCTTAGTAAAGCCTACCCCCTGAAAACATTAAAATTTTAAAAGATTTAATATTTCAAGTATCAAGACAAGGCCAATAAGATATGATACACCCAAATATATGACGAAATTTTGAACCTTGAAAACAAATTAAAAAAGAATAGCATGTGTGTTGGTAAAACCCCCAATACGCACATTCCAGCGTATCGGGGTGTATTGATATTTTGAAACTTGGGTGAGTTGCACCTAGGATCTGAGATGCACCCCAGTAATTCATCCTTACCCATGAACCTAGGCATTACATTTAAGATACTGGAAAGATTATAGAAAGACCAGCATACAAGGACTCAAGGAGAGAAGTGGTGATTGGGAATTCGTCTCTGCCCCCTCAAGGAACAATAAAGCTGAACCTCAAGAAATGCCCAATGGAGAATCTAGGAGCATCAAGAGTACAAGGTACCTTCAGAAACCAGGGGGCATTATTTTTGCTTACTCATGCCCCACAGGCACAGGAGACTTCATAATAGTAAAGAACATATTTTTATTTCTGAGTTTTTTATGTTCCCTATAGGTTTGAGATTTTGAGGTGGAAAGAGATTCTCAAAGTGGTGATAGGTTGGATGAGGAGTAGAGGAGAGAGCCTATGGACTTTTCATCATTCATCAATCATTAGCCTAAACATTAAGAACAGATTGAATTGTGTCTCAAGATTAGCTGGTGCGAGAGGATAATTGTATTGGGGATCCTAAACACCCAAGTTAGCCTGGGAGAAGTGAGTCGTTCTGAGTTCCTTCTATTCTCCAAACGAGAGCTGTATTGCTTTCTGTTCTGTGGGGAATAATACTGTTATGTGCCTTAGGAGAACTCACCCCTAAAAGCTAGCTGTTAGAGGGAGGGAACCCAAGCACATATATACCCCACAACAGCATCCCATTCTACCGATGTGGGATACCTCACATTAGCATCCCATACTACCAACATGGGACAAATGGATCGTAACAAATACCTGAAGAGTTAGCCAACCCCGCTGGCGGGCTTCTTCAAGTAGACGCTACTTAGGATACAATAAAGTTTTCCACAAGCACTCTCTTTATAATGAACGATATCTGAACTGATTTGGGACAGTATTCCGATCGTATTCCAAACAACAACCCAAAAGTAAGGCAAATGGGCATGTATAAGACACCCACGATCTTTTATATGTATTCATAAAAATATATTGGTGAACAACCTACCCCTATTCAAGGTAAGAGGAGCAGAAACCGATCGATCATGACAAGCGGATAGAAACATAATATGGGAGCCAAAATCCAAATACAGTGGAAATACAAGGGGTTAGAATTTGGAACTTACAGCATTGGAGGAACTGATACTTCGTAACTGGAGGAGTGACGGTGTCGGAGTTATTAAATTTCCCCATGAATCGTCCAGATAACGATTCAATGACCTCGTCTTCTTCTTTGAAATCGAAAACCGTAAGGTCTTTGCGAGAACTAGAAGAGCTTTTCATCACGCATAATAGAATCAAACTATGCTGTTAAACCACTGAAAAAGGATTGGTCGTTCACCTATAAGTGCCCCTCCACTCCGGAAATCGACGATCTGTATTAAATTCAGGCCAGACTGTGGAGGTTCCACAAATACGAAATCACCGGAAATGAAGTCCCAGATGTGACGGGAAAGGTAACCCGGCGACGGGTCGAGCCCATTGGTGTGCCCTAATTTATATGATGACCGAGTAACGAAGAAATCGTTTGGTTGGGCTTTCTTTTTTCAGTAATAGCCTGAAGACTTTGGCTGTTGATGGCCCAAGTCCATGAGGCCCATGACTACTATAGCCTAACCACGGCCCACGGGTGGGATTGGATGGGTCGATTGGGCTCTCTTCCTGAATATGTAGAAGTGGAAAAGCTACGCTACTGAAACGTCGCGGAGGGCGGAGGGCGGAGCAGCGCAGTATACGGGCTTTCGACTTTTCGATTACAAATTACAAAACGACAAAATTTAGGGTTGTTTGGTACTTGGTAGTACGACTGCCGGTGGAATCCGAAGTTCGATAGATATCACCATATCAGGTCTGATGATTTTTATTTGGATAATGAGATAATCTATTTACAAAAATCGTGGTTTGCAAAACCGGATCGGATCGGTTTCGTTTTATCTTAGTATCGCTATTTTTTCAAAAATCGTTGATTTGGTCAATAAATTGCTGATTCGGACATTTGAATTTTGAACCGGTTACGGTTTGACCGGTTTTATTTTTAAATTGTTCTGTCAGAATGGACCATCTATTTTGTTTAAGTGATCGAACTGTTTGACCTGAAAATCATACTCCTAACTGATTCGTTTTTTAAAACCTTGACAAAAATAGAATCAAATTCTTTTTTTTTTCTTTTCATTTTTTAGAATTTTACACAAAAGTAAAATCTAAAAATAAATAAAATTTTGTAAGGTGGGGTAAGGTGAATTTTNGATATGGTTCATAGTGTTTTACCTTTTACTAGGGACAAGTGATAAGATCCAAAAAAAAAAAAGTTATGGATGGGACTTTATAATTTGAGTTTAAATTGGCTCCCTACACAGTGAGCCCAACGTGCGCCCCATAACTTGACAAGTACAAGAAAACAACAACCAGTGTGCTCAAACAAGAGGGTAAAGGACTACGTCATAAACAAAAATGAAGATGGTGACCTTGACATAGAGGGTGTTGAGGATATTGACACAATTGTAGTCGAGTTTTCTGAGGATTTGAGTGCGATTAAGGAGGTAAATACATGTTAATTTTTCTTTTTATCTGACACTTTAAATTTATCTTATGTTCAGTGTAAATTTGTAATCCTTTATTGCTTGTAAAATCGAAAAGTTTTGACAATAATGGGTGGGAAAACTTCATGGGGTTGAAGGCAAAAAATTAAATGCTGAAAACAATGCATTCTTTTGCATTAGTTGTTCTAGGGTAATACTAAAGGAAGGGGTAACAAGGGTTTTGGTCCAAGTTGACTTATTTGTTGCTCTCATTCTATAAAATCTATGGGCAATTTCAAAGGATATAATGTCCAAGAAAAAGAAAACTGAAAATTAGAAATTGGAAGAGAAGAAATATGAAGATGGTAGTTCATCACTATCAAGTTCCTTCTCCCAAAAATCCAAACAAATAAATGGGTTGAGGAGATTGTCCCGCAACAGCCCCGCCTCCACCAATGATCATCCAAGGCTGAAAGCTTGAAACTATTAAGGGATGGGCTCTCCCTTGATAGTCAAAGCTTTGATATATTAAAGGAAGGTCTTAAGGCCATAGCCCCCACTATTAAGACACGTGGCAACCTCAACTTTATAGAAAAAGCATCTCAGAAATTGGTTGTTCACATTTTCAAAGAGAAAACACAATCCTCATATACATAAGTTGTTTTTAACCACATTTAAATTTTTGAACTCAGACATGTGGCACTATAAGACAGTGTCATACATTCAATAATAGTTCTTTAGAAATACATGAGATGGTGGGAAACTCCCATTCTCATCCATTCCTAAAAAAATATAGGAAATGTAAGTGGTTATCCACAACCACTTCAGTCTACAGTCTGCAATTTCAATAATTAGTTTTATTTGAATTTCAAATATAAATATAATTATTAGACAAATAGTGAAGCTCAAATAAAATATTCTCAAAAAAACTCAAATAAAATAATATTACTATAAAAAAAAAGAGTAAAAACCAAAATGATACATATGTGTGACTGCCCCATAACGGGGTCACATACTAGATAAAATATGGTAAGTTTCTTAAATCAAATAGAAAACTATCAAAACAATAAATGAAAAACCTAACCTAAATTTTTAATGTAAATGATTTAAAAAAAATGAAATTTTAAAATAGTTCATATTAGTGACCCCATACTGAATACGGGAGTCAGGCCTAATTAGTTAATAAAGCCAAATATATTGTTCCTTGTTGAAACTAAATGTTCCCTTCTAGGTTGAAACAAGAGTTTAAAGTGGATTGGAAGTTGGGATTGTAGGGGTGTTTTACTTAATGGGGCGCTCTAGTGGGCTTGCTCTTTTTTGAAATAGTAGTTATAATTTAACTGTTCTTCAAGCTTCTAAGAGATGGATCCATACTTTAATCATAGATTCAAACAAGGGAGATTGGTTGTGCACTTTCATCTATGGAGAGCCTAATAAAGGAGAAGATAGATGTTTTATAGCAATTGGAGAAGGTTAGTTGACTCTTATAGACAGCCTTGGGTCTATATTATCTTGTGAAGATAAAAAGAGGTATATTTGTTAGTAGAGTTCAAATTCTCTCTAATTAGAGGCATCTTGTGGATTTTGAAAGTTTAGTTGTCCTCTCTTTTATGGTCCAATATTTACATGTATAGATAAGAATGATGGTCGTGATAATTTTATGAAGAGAATTCATATGGCTCTCGATTAAAAAAAAAAAAAAAAAAAAAAAAGGCTTAGAAGACCATTTAGATGCACAGTCCTTAATTGAGGATTGTGGTGACTTAATAAAATATGTTTGGGTCGAGAGGTAAATGTAGGAATCTTCAACATGTTCTTGTGAAATGGAATATAAAAGATTTTGGAAAGCTACAAGATAGGATGGAAATGGCTAATGAGGGTTCTAATAGAAAGCTTAATAATGAGAAGGTTGTGGGGCTAGAGCATAATCCCAATAGAAAAATGAAGAGATAATAGGTTTTATGGGCTCAAAAGTTGAATTTTGGTGAATGGAAGCTCCATTAAGAGAGTTACCATGTCTATAGGATTTTGATAAAGAGATCCACTCTCCCCTATCTTTTTTTTTTTTTCTAATCCATTCATATGTTTTACAGAAAAAATGCTTAAAAAGCAACAAAGCAAAGGTAGAATAACATGCATTAAAGTTTCATATGCTAATAGTTGTCCTTATGTAACTCAATTATTCTTTGAAGACGATTATTATGTCTTGTCAAGATATGACCTGGTTGAAGCTAGTAAAATTAAGGAAGCTATTTTGGAGTATGGGGAATAATTTGGGCAATAGGTAACTTCCAGAAATCAAAAGTTTAATTTAGTAAGAATTTTCACCATAGGCTACAAAATTTGGTGGTAAGAGTTTTGGGTATAAAAGAAGGTGAGCATGTCCTCAGTGTATCTAGGGCTCCCCTAAAAGATAGGAAGGTAAAAGAACAAGGCTTTCTCCTACCTATGGAATAGAATGGAGTTTTGATAATAAAAAGTGGAAGGAACTATTATTTTCACCTGTTGGCAAGCATACCTTAATTAAAGTAGTTTTGTCTGCTATCCCTACATATACAATGTCATGCTTCGTGGCTAAAATTATGAGAAAATTTTGTAATGGTAATAGGAAAAACCCTTGGATGGGATGGGATCAACTAAATAGGAACAAACTTGAAGAAGGGTTGGATTTTCGGGATATTCATTGCTTTAATTTGGTTGTCCTTGCCTATGCTTGATTAGATATTTTGTTCAAAGACTATCTCTCTCTAGGTTGAGATCTTTATAGCTAAACATAGAGGGTCCAAGAGTTCCTAGATTGTTCTCCTCCCTAAAAATTGTTCCTAAGGTGGGAAAAGTTTAATAGCTAGTGTGAGCTCTGGGAAGCTCATGGCCGGCTTAAAAGAGTTGGAGTCACCACCCATTTTTTGGAGGAAATGAGCCATAATTTTCAACTATGAAAAATCAACCTAAGTTTTTAGTAGTGACTCTGTTTTCCATGGAAAAGGCACACAACCAAGAGATTTCGGGTTCTAAGGATTGGGAGGGGGAAGGTATTAGGCACCCCTCTCTCCAAGCTGTTGTAGCAGCTTGATACGAGAGTTATTCAAACTCAACTTCTTTCAAGGAAAAACATAAATGGTTGTAAGAATTTCTTAAATCCAGAGGAATATGCTTTCAACTTCTCCTATGACTGATTTTGAGGTGATGTTATTGGGTCTTAGGTACTGATTTCCCTAAGACCCCCACCTCTATGCCTTTACTCTTAGTCAATAAGGAATTGCAAGCCAAGTTTCTCCAACATTTCAGAACCTTAAGCAACCCAGAAAAGATGAAAAAAAAGACTCACCTTTTTGTATGTACCTTGTCGAAAGATTTCCAACAACTAAAAGGACTTCAAACGAAACTTGAGTAAGGCATAGAACTGAGTTGAACTTTTTGGTGTTAAGTTTGAAAGACAAGAAACGAGGCTTCAGCTTGGCTTCAGGGACTTTGGGATTTCAAGTAGAACAGGTGGGTTACATAAGTTGGAAAACTATCATCTTCCCCTCTTCTTCTCTTTTCTCGGGCCTCTCTTAGGTCTCCTTTCCTCCCTCTCTTCAGTCCCCCCTTTCAAGCTCGAGTTGGGCCTCTATTTATAGAGAAACTGGAGGGAGATGGGTCAGAAATTCGCTCAGCTACAGTGTTTGCGACTGAGCAAAGTTCTTTCACTGAAATAAACAAAGATTTTTCAAAGAAATAAGTGCCCAGTCAAGCTTTCCTGTTTGGTGAAACGTTTTCTTTGATTTAGGGGTGGTTTTCATGGGTTTTGTGCAGCCAATGGGAGCTGAGGGTGTGTCAGACGTTGCAGTCTCGTATTTGGGGCTATCAGTGGTAGAAAAATATAAATTTAATGAACTTTTAAAACTATTTTGTCTTTTCTTGGTCTTAAGTAAGAGTCTGTTTGGTATTTTGAGCTTTTTGGGTCTATTAGGCTCTGTTTGATTGGTACGAGTGT